TTCGCTGCAGTAAAAAAGTCATTGTGACAGGCTTTACTATAATTCATTGACCAATCCACTTCTTATACGATGGATAATAGTGCTCACTCTGCCCTGAAAGTCAGATGTGATCATGGGACTTGACTTTGGCCAGTGAACTGTAGAGGATGTGTTTAATTTCCAGTGCTCAAATTTCTACCTCTCTCTTCTCCAGCCTATTGAACATCTGATTTCATAAAACCTTTGAGGATAAAGCACTTCAGATTGTCAGTCTGATTGTTTCTTTTACTAACTTTATCTGAATTATTGCCTATTTATACACATATCTCAATTTACTTAATAGAGGTTTTCAGAAAGAAAACACATATAAATGGAATTTTAAAATGTTTCCTATGCCCAAAGGAAGTCCTAGTATGCATATTTCCTCCTTTTCATACATTGACTTTTTCTAAAGCAGAGCATGCTGGATATTCTTTCAGCAGATATTCTTTTTCCATTAGCTGTTGCATCGTTTTCTAGAAGATGGCTATTTCACTTATCAAACAAATGTTTACTGAGCACTTGCTCCATGGAAGTCCTGGATGCCCATATTTATGTGAGGCTGTAACCGTACCTAAATATTATGGGTGTTTGCTGCTATGGAGTGAACTGTGTCCCTCCAAAATTCATACATTGAAGCCCTAACCCCCAATGTGACCATATTTGGAGATGGAACATGTAGGCAGTAAAGTTAAATGAGATCATAAGGGTTGGGCCATAATTTGATAGTTGGCCTTCTAAGAAGAGGAAGAATGAGAGAGATCTTACTCGCTCCTTTCCACATGCATATACCTAGGGAAGAGCATGCAGGCATACCCAGGAAAACAGCCCTCACCAGCATTTGACTAAGCTGGTATCCTGATCTTAGATTTCCCAGCCCCCACTGGACAAAACAAATCTCCGTTATTTAAACCACCCAGTCTATGGTATTAACAGCAGCTCAAGCTGACTAATACATTTGCCAAATCAAAAAATTTTACAAATGGAATCCTTGTGAATCCTGTAAGAAATAAATCTAGAGCAACAAAATAAAAGAACCATATGTAGCTGATTGTAAACTTATTAAATCTGAAATCCAAAATTCTCATTAAATTTCAAAAAAATATATATAAGAAGTCTAATAAAAGACTGAAAAAAATGCATGGATGTCAGATTCATGATGGCATATTAAAGGAGACCAGATTTCTAACCCTGGAAGATAAAATGGGGGAGAACAACAAATAATCCAATGCAATCAACTCATTTATTAAACAAGTGCTCAGGATTGCCAATAGACAATATATCTCAAGGTATAGACCAAGGTTATCTGTGCCAGAATCATATCGGTGTGCCTGTTAGATACCCAGTCTCTGGCACCTTGACACAGTCATACTCAATTTCTTAGAGGTGAAGTCTGGGAATCTTCGTTTTAAACAAATTCTCTATTTGATCCATAAGTACATTAATATCAGAGATAGCCTACTTTAGGCATTGTAGGCCTACATAAGAAATACTCGTCTTTGTCCTTGCAGTGAGATGCTTACAGTTAACATGCATGAAATAGAAGATGAATCAACATGGGATGTGATCAAGTGCTCGAATGTGTGATACAGAGTGTAATGTAGTATTTTTAGAAGAAGACTTCAGCAAAGAACAGAAAATAGCTACTAGAGATCTGTTCACAACACTCCAAGAGCTTAGAGGGAGGACTAGAACAGTGCACCAGAGGAGCCTGGAGTCAAGGAGGCTCTGAGAGGCTATCACTTGAAGAATAAAGAAGCTCTTTCTCTTCAGCACTTTTTTTTTTTTTGAGACGGAGTTTCGCTCTTGTTACCCAGGCTGGAGTGCAATGGCGCGATCTCGGCTCACCGCAACCTCCTCAGCACTTTTAAGAAAAAGAGATTGTCTTTGTGATTGTTAAAGTTATTACTTCATAAGGACATAGAGCACAAATAAGAGACAGGAGTGAATGACAATTTTTAAAAGACAGAAAACAGATGAGAGATGGTTCTGATGAGACTGGAAATATGCTGATTTGCCCTGGGCATCCTCTGGAGGCTCAGCTCTTGGAAGAACCATGTATTGCAGAAGTTTGGGGAGAGGTATATGTAGGGATAAAAAGAGAAGGAACGTAAGTGGGTGAACCTTCTAAATCTCATCCCCACAAGGCAACTATTCTAGCCTCTTGTCTTTCAGGAACAACTGATTTATTCTCTAGAGGATTTGAACTGAAGGAGGCTTGAACTTGAACAATCAGTACCAACTTCCCTTTACACTCTGATCTCAGAAATCTGACAGTCAGCTGTGTTTCCCCAGGCCCTCTAACTTCACCTGTAAGTGTATTTTCATTGGGAGGAATTTAGCAAAAAGTGATGCTAAAAATTATTGGAGCAATGTCTTCAAAATCATAAGATTATACACCCAACCAAACTGTTAATCAAGTAACATAAAGGTAGAATAAAGATTTTTCCCTGGCTGGGCTTGGTGGCTCACGCTATTATCCCAGAACTTTGGGACACAAAGGCTGAAGAATTGCTTGGACCCAGGAACATAGGAAGATTCTGGGCAACATAGGAAGATTCTGTCTCCACAAAAAAAAAAAAAAAAAATTAGCTGAGTGTGGTGGTACATGCCTGTGGTCCCAGCTACTCATGAGGCTGAGGCAGGAGAATCGCTTTAACCTGAAAAGTCAAAGTTGCAGTGAGCCATGATGGCACCACTGCACTCCAGCCTGGGTGACAGAGCAAGACCTTGTCTAAAAAAAAAAAGTTTTTATCAGATATGCAAGTACTCAAAACTTTTGCCTTCTTAGGAAGCAAGTAGAGGATGTAGTTTAACCAAAATAAGGGGATAAACACTAGAATAAGAAGACACTGAATCCAGAAACCAGGGATTAGAACACAGAAGACCTGCAGTTATACCATCAGGCTGGAACACAGCTGACAGAGGTCATTTGGGACACAAGAGCTCAGAGCTGGAGAACTGAAGGTAACAAAAATGGAACTAATGTACCTTCTGTTTTTGAATCTTATGTGCATTCAGTAACCTACAGAGTCTGTGAGTAGTCCTACAACCTTCCATTTCTTTTTACTTTCATTGGCTCTGTGTAAAACAGATGTCATTATACTTATCTTTGTTCTCTGTTTATGTTTTCATTTTTCATATAAGAAATATACTTTTAGGAATTATATAATTAAAAAATTATCGGTGATTGAAGTAATTAGCACATAATTTTCATATTACCATTTATTTTCCATGTGACCTAATTAAAAAAATAAAAAAACAAGCAAAAAAAGCCCCTACTAACATTAATATACAAAAACTTAGGTAATTTTGTTACATTTTATTTATAGATATTTTTGAAATTTACTACATTATTCTTTAGGTTGTTCACTAACTTAGCAAATTGGAAAAACTGATTTTCCATTTTTGTGAGGAAAAAAACTCAATAACCACCATTTATAGGGAAGAATTTTAGCTAGGCAATGTCTTAAAATAATTTTGAAATGTATTTATTTACATCTCAAATATGACTTCTTTCTAAAATGTTCAAAGTCTCATTTCCACAGCTGCAATTAAGTGACTTTTTAGGATAATGTTTCATTTGGCTGTATTATGTTAATAATCAGCTAGATGATGTATGTCTTTTCCATCTTTATGTACTCATGAATTATTCAGAAGTGTTCTCTTTCAAATGAAGAGTAGAGGAATTCAGTTTCTCTTCCCAAAAGATTCAGACATGCTGTAGTTTAGAAGCAGGGGACGAGGGGATAGGTGGTTCTTTCCTCTTTCTCTCTTTTTAAAAATCATTTAAAATATATTAAAGTGAACAGTTGTAAATTACTTAAATATCCAATAATGAGAAAATGATCAAGTAAACTATGATACGTCTACTTAAAAAATGATGCAACTATCAGAAACTAATGCTTGGAAGATAACATAGCTACATAGAAAAATGTTTATGTCCAAAAAGTAAGTGGAAGAAAAGCAAGATATAAAAATATACGTACACTATAATTACTATTTAAAAATAGCAACAGGAAAAATTTCAGAAGAAAATACAGTAAAATAACAATCATGATCATATTACTATAGTAGGACTATAGATGACTTGTTTTTTCTCCGTATTTTTCAATTTTCTTTAACATGTTATTCTTTTTAGGCTGAGAAGAGACAAAACAAACCAATACACCCATACTGAGGGACTCATATTTGCTAGAAGCTGAGCTGTGTACTGAGGATATAAAGATGAAAAGATATGCTTAGTGTTATGTAATACATCAAGTTTTCCCTGGTAATACCAAAATCACTGGGATATAATTAATGCAAATTAATTACCAGTGTATAATTAACATAAATTTCATTTGGATTTTATTAAGATGAAATATAATTAATTTTATTAAATACCCAGTAGGTGCTTTTCATATGTCCATCTAATCCACTCACAAATCATATGAGGAAGATAATTTTCTTCTTACCATCAGGAAACTAGGTCTCAGAAAGGCTATGCAACTTGTCCAAAGTGACATAATTAATAAGATACTGAGCCTGGCTTGATTTACAAGTCCATATTCAATCATGTAACAATTTATTAAGTACTGACTGAAGTTGTTCTAGATTAGGAAATTGTTCTAGGTAAGAGATAGTGAAATGGACAAAGCAAACTCTTTGCTTTCATGGCGCTTACATTCCAGTGCAAGGGGACATAAACAAAAAGAAATGTCAAATGGTATATTAGAAGTTAAAAAGTGCTACATAGACAAATAAAGCAGAAAAAGGGGACAAGTATGCTTGGTAGGAAGCGGGGAGTTACAATTCTACATAGAGTGATCAGGCAAAGCCTTGCTAAGAAAGCAATGTTTCAGTAGAGGCCTGATAGAGGTGAGGAAATGATCTAACTCTGCTTTTATTTAATGTCTCTTGATGTCTACATTTTTGCATTCATTTATTTATTTTCCTTATATGAGCTGTCTACTTATATACTGCTTGGTAGAGCTGCTTGTTGAGTTATTCAGTTCCTAAGTTCTTGGCAGAATATTGACATCTAGGTTTTATAAAACTTTCTCCTAGGTCCTGAAGTTGTTCCACATGGCAGTTTCTGGTGAAATTCTTCTGGAGATGACAGGAAGCAGGAATGTGCCTCAGGTAAGGGGGGTGCTCTTTGGAGTTCATACCCAGGCACCAAGGATTTCTTTGCCTGGTACAGAGAGCTTCATGGAGCCATCAGTGGTAACAATCCCTCTTTCAACTACTGGCCACATGCCAGGCTGTTGCATTTGCTGCTATGTACATGGAAAAATAAAATTTTGATTATAATATGTTATAAGTATGATTAAAATAGGATGCAGTGAGAGACAATAATGAAGAAGAGATGTGTATTTGGAAGCCTTACTTAGATCAGGGAGCCCCTCTGAGGAAGTGACCTTTCACTCAAATCCTGGAGGGAAAGATATCCATAAGATACTGACAATGTCTTATTTCCAATAGAGGCAGAGTGTAAAATGCTATTATTATAACCTATTGGAGCAGCCCGTTCAGCTGAGCTATAACAGCCTCTGGGTCCAGAAGTTGCTTTCATTGTGGTTTCACTTACCAAGACTGTGCTAAAGTCGGAAGGATAAAGGAATAATGTTCCTCCTTAAGTTCCTAACATGCTTGGCCACTTAGTGATGTAAAGGAAATACCTATGCTTGTTTGAGGATCAAATAATAAGATAATCACTGTGTGTCATTTTCTCCATTCTTTGCATCTGATTGCAATAATTACAATAATTAGAGTTCAGGGAGACCCACTCTCTCCTGATTTTACCGATCATGCTGTAGGAGCTGCTAACACAGCATAATACAAAATGCAGTCATGTGCAGTCTGCATAAAGACAATCACAAGTCGCATAAATGCCAGATAAAGAGCTCCTATTTATACACAGTATCTCCTACTATACACAGGAAACATGAAAATCAGTATCTTACAGCTGACATTGTTTGGCTTTCTAACTTTGACCACTACTTCCATCATACTGGCTTATCTGTTTAAGTTTATTCTTTTTTTTTTTTTTTGAGACGGAGTTTCGCTCTTGTTACCCAGGCTGGAGTGCAATGGCGCAATCTCGGCTCACCGCAACCTCCGCCTCCTGGGTTCAGACAGTTCTCCTGCCTCAGCCTCCTGAGTAGCTGGGATCATAGGCATGCGCCACCATGCCCAGCTAATTTTTTGTATTTTTAGTAGAGACAGGGTTTCACCATGTTGACCAGGTTGGTCTCGATCTCTCGACCTTGTGATCCACCCGCCTCGGCCTCCCAAAGTGCTGGGATTACAGGCTTAAGCCACCGCGCCCGGCCACTAAGTTTATTCTTAATAAATGGACACTTGGGGTCCCAGTCTTCTTTAGAGGCAAGAAGAATTTAAAGCCATCTTGCTGTTACTATTCATTTAAATAATTCTCAAAAGTCCAAATTGCAATGAAGCAAGAATACAGCCATGTGTACAACAGGAGCGCTTATTTTCTGAAGATTTAGTAATTTATTTTACCTCCTGCATGTAACCCTCTAAAATGCCCTGTAATGTCTGAGGAGGCATTCACTTACAGTCAGAAAAAAACATAGTCTTACTAGTCATTCACCGCAGACATTCTTAGAGTCCAGAATATGATGTGTGACTTTTTTGTTTTGTTTTTACTATGCTCACTGGGCTCTTTTAACTTGAGTCAGCCTTAGGCCCTTTCTCCCTTGGTCTTCCTCCTTCTTTTCTACCCTTCCAACTTCCCAGGTGGTCAAAACTCAGGAAACCACTGCTCCTGGGTCCTTCCTGGGGGGAAAATGAGGAATTAGAGGTGGTGGCACCTCACAGCCCTCAACGGGATTTGGCTTACATTTTTCAGATTCTTTGGAGTGGAATGTTTGTTACATAAAACCAGCCTCTGTGGTGCTAAGAAAGATTACCCTCATAGCACAACTTTGATGTAATTATGCCCCAAAGGGCCCCCTCCACAAAAGAGGAGGCTGAGAAGGAAAGAAAGGGTACAGATGATAGAGAACCTGGATCTGTCTCAGATGATCTGTCAGGGTTCTTGCAATCAGTTTATTCCAGGGTAAACCTCACATAGCCACTTTACCAGAAATGCATCCTTACTAGAAAATGCTTTCTATACAAATAAAAGATAAAGTTCCAACCTAGCAAAAAAAATTTAGGGAGGCAAGGACTACCAAGTTATCTGAACAACTAATAAAAATATCCTGGGCTCTTTTCTTTTCCCAGGTTCTCTGTAATATGTATAAAAGAAATTATTCATCCATTGATGACACATAGTTCTACTCACTAGACAGAAAGTAAGCTTATTCATTGTTAGAGGCTGCTATTTGTTAGTGTAAAAGGCTAGTTCACCAGTTTAGTTGCACTGATACAGCATTGTTAATGTGACAGAAAAAGTCACTATAACAGCTTTCACACACTCTGCCCAGGTCTCCAGGAGCCCTCTCACTGCAGACATTTAGCAGATTTCTGAATGACTCATTCTCACAAAAAAAAAAAAAAAAAAAAAAAAAAAAAAATAGGCCAGCCACTGAGCTGGATTTGAGTTTTAATTCTTTCAAGTTTGATCTGTCATGAGGAAATAAATGTATGGGTGGCACTGTTCAAACCATAACATCTTGCTGCATTAAAACTAACTCTTGCAAAATAAAAGTTGTTTGTCTAAATGGTCTAAATATGTGTGCATGAATGCCCAATTTCTTCAATTTTTCCTGAAAATGGCATTTTAAAGTTACATCATGGCTAAGAATTTGTACCCATTTCTTTTATAATTATTTTAATTACACTAGCTACAATCGTTGCTTTTCAAAGAGACAGCCAATGAGGCTTTATATCAAGCATTTACTCTGGGAAATGAAGAACGTTTTCCTTTGTAAATTATATAAAAAGATGCTACATATTATGTAGCAAGAAAAAGAGAGTTGATTTTTTTTTTCTCCCCAAAGTGCCAAAGAATCTCTTTTATCTCCTGGCATCTTCTCAAGCTCATTATTGCTTCAACATTTGAACTTGTCACCTCTCCAAACTAGTTGCATTTCATCATCTTTAGGTAAACCTTAAGGCTTTCTAAAGCTCCTTTGGATTTTGTATAAAATCTCATTCTCTGAGATTCAGAAAACTTCTTTAAATCTACTTTTTAGCCTATTTTTATAAAACAGACCAATAAATGGCCAAGTTTAAACATAATAACAGTTCATATTTCAATTTTTGTGAAAATTTTTATCTGCTTTCAACTTTGTCTCTGTTATAGCTTCTTTTTTCTCCCTTGACCCCAAGCCTGTGATGGGTGTTAATCTTCCTTAATACCTCATTGGGAACAAAGTGCAGGCGTTTCTGGGGTGGCAGCATTTTCAATATTGGATGCTACTGAGAACTATGGTTAGATTTGGAACAGCTCAGCTTACTGAATTGGCAGCTCTTCTGCCATCTGAATGTATTTTTCTTCCTTGCTCGCCTTTGGAGAACTTCTCCCCTTCAAACTCTTCCTTTTATGTAACTTTTAGGTTTTTTAAGAACAATCCTGTGAATTACTGGAGCTGTTCTTATACCTTGAAGGTAAAGGAAAGACTGACTTTAATGTGTTCGTTCAGGTGTCCCCCAAATAGGCCTTCCTCCTACTAGGGTCCCAGTTCTGCTAGGCCCAGTATTCACTGAAGCAGAGTCCAGTGTATCCATCCTATGTGGTCTGCAGAGGACATTTCATTTTCAAAGGACCATTGCTGGGTCCAGAGTCTTTCACATGGAGGCAGTTCTGTTGCACAGCTGGAACAATCTGCCTTACAAAGAGCAGCCCTCATTTGATTAGAAGTTGCTCCCTTCTGTATTTTTTGTTTAAATAGATTAGAAGAGCATTCCTCTCTGTACCAGGTCATCTCTCAATTTAGATAGGAGAAGGCCTCTTTCAAAGCTGCTCTGAAGATGTGACCGTATCAACTAGAAAACTAAAGGCCTAGCTAGGTTTCTTCCTCAAATTGCCACTAAAGTAAAGCACCTTAGGATTCTTTGGTGAGAATAAAGAGGTGTCTAAGATCAAAGAACTGTTTCTGGAGGGAATGGAAACACGTCTAATGAGTGACAACATTCCACTTTTACCTGAGAAATTGAGAGAACATTCCATCTGTGGGCAGAGATCTCTTCCTGAGCAGAGTCAAGGCCTGGTAGATCACTCCAAATACCTGTGGAAGTCTTGTGAATAGTTTCAGGGTCACCAATGTTCAATAAATGCTTCCTTGCTTGAAAGGAGGACTTTTACTTCCTTTCCCAAGTATCCCCAACTCCTTCTTTGATTTTTCAGATAAACATCTGCTCTGGAAACACTGTAATTTCTCTTCATAGAACTAGATTGAGGATGAAAAACAAAGTATTACAGAAGGGAAGCAAAGTATAACACATTTCTTTAAAGTTCATTTCTTGATTCTTACTAGGATTTCTTTCAGTTGGAGTCCTTAGGATATGTTTACTTTGTATACCCAGTCAACATTCCATTACAGCATTTCTACACTTTGCAGAAACGGAGATTACAAAGGAGATATAAAGAGGAGATTATAAAAAACAGAGAACATGGTCACTAATTTTCCCCTACTACCTGTAAGTGGAAAGTATATCTGAAATGGTTTGAACTAAGCATATCAGCACAGTACAAGGGCTTTCTTGTGCCATTCAAGTAGATCAAGCTCCTCAGTGGCTTAAATACTCCCAAATTTAAGGAATCATTAGTTTTCTGTTGTGTATTGAGGTCTTTAACACTCTTTCTCTCCCCTAGCTCCTCTGAATTACTCTACCGGAGTTCAGATGCCCCAGAGGTCTCTAGTCCCTAGGCTAGATTTAGATCCCAGGGTGGACCCCTTAATTTGATAAAGTGGGGGTGGTTTCAGTAGACAGCTGGATTGGGTTGTTAGCTTGGATTGGCAGTACAATGCAAATTAAAGTATGTCGAATACTGTGCTAGAACTTTGCTAATAAGGTATGTGATTCTGTAGGTTTGGGTGCTGGTACACACCTTGGTGACTTTTTTTGGTAACCTTAATACTATTTCCTAGGGTTTATATTACTCCTATTATTTTTAACAATTTTCTTTGTTTCTCAAATTACAAATATAATATGGGTTTGCGGTTTAA